AATGCATTTGGCTGACCTGAAAATCTTTTCTGATCTGGCATTTCCCTTATGCCAATAATCTTTTGATGTTAGTGTCATTGGGAAATGATTAATCTCTAAGCAGAGTTTCTCAACCATGGCCATTTAAAGATAAGTGGCGTAAAGTGAGCCTTGATGGGGTGTGCCATTCTAAAGGTAGCTAATGGACTCAGGGAAGATTCTACCTCCTCCCCTTGCTCTTCTCCTTGCCACCTTTCTCAATTGTAATGTTAATATTTAATGCTTTGGTCCGGGCTTTTACTTGTAAGCAATCTAGAGTTGCTTCTAGGTGAGTTAAGCAGCACATAAATGTAATAATAAAATAAATATAATTTATTTTAAATAAATTTAGAATAGATTCTATTAGATTCTTATAAATCCTAATAAAATATAATTTATTTTATTCAGAATTACAGGAGTTAAAAGTCCACCCATTTTAAAATGGCTAAGATTGAGAAACACAGACCTATTGTATGAACCAACCTGTTTGTCAACAACATAGTATAGTATATATATATACTACTATTATTCCTTTGAGCAAACTGGTCTTTATTCAATTATGCAGGTTTTCTTGGCTTAATATCAATTGTTCAGCAACGTTAAAATTTAAGATGATGCAATCTGAACTGGCCTTCCTATTTATGTTGGTCACAGCATCCCTCGTGATCGTGATTTTGGGATCTTTGCCAGCTTCCTCCAAGTACTCGATGAGGAAGCTGCCCGGAAGTCACAAAATGGTTGCCCCATTATGTCCCTGTTTAACACCCCTCAGCCATTCACTTAACAACAGCAAATGGAAATGCTGGAATATCCAGTAGTAAGCAACATTTCATGCTTTCTGACAACATTCTGGTCCCAGTTGGTGTTAGCTGACTACCTATATTCAACTTGAATAATATGCATAACATTTCATGCTCTATTCTATTTCGTTCAGGAAAGTTGGTTCTGAGAGCAAAAGGGAGATTTTGCTCTCAGATCAGTGATTCATATGTGGCATGACTGTTGGAAAGAGGAAACACAAAAAGCTTTCTGTGAATTTACCATAGCTTATCAACTGACATAGTTTGTTAATTTTAACCTTTACTATTCTCTTTCTCTTTAGAAGGAAATGCCAATGAGTGCCAATGAGACAGCTTTGCTGTGTTTGGTGTGTGCCTTTCTCCTTCTGCTACGGAAGGCCATCCAAAATGGATGTCTTTGAACAAATACCTCCTCCTTCTTAGCAGAGACCAGTGATTTTCACATCTCAAATCTGATGCAAATTACTATACAGGAATGTGGCAGGTATCTTTTAGAAAAAGAACCTTCCCAGTTCCCACCAATCTGAATTCAGTTCACAGGAACACTTGGAACAAAAATGAGGCCCTGAAAGTTTTTGTTCCCACCATGCCAGAAATTTAGTCTAGAAATATTTAGCTCTTGACAGTTACACACTACAGTAGCAGTAGTAATAATAAAAGTTGAAACACACAATAGCTTTCATAACAGACTTGTGTAAAGCCCAAACCTGCCACCTACTGGAGAATCCAAAGTGTGTTGCATTAAAAAATATCAGAAAGGCCAGTTAGAAAATCAGTGACAACGAAGAAAAAGCAATGGGGTCATGGCTAGCGTTGTGTGTGTCCTGAACATACAAAATTGTTGTCTTCTCTCTCTTATTTCTGAATCAACCATAACTATTTATTTCTGAAGCTTAAATTAGTTGCTTTATCAAGCTAATGCTTAGAATGTATATAGGTCACATACTACTAACTAAAGCAGGGGCCAGCAACCTTAAATACTCAAAGAGCTACAAAGGTCCTAAACGTAAGCCCCCCATTCAATTCTGCAGCTGACTGGAAGTCCGGTTCTCCCACCATAGTCTTCTCTTAGTGCGACATCCTTTTTCCTCTACCAGTCCTAACCAAAAGCCCTATCAATTGTGGCGCCAACTGGTGACAGGGAGCCACAACAGAGGGGTGAAAGAGCCACATGCGGTTCCAGAGTTGCAGGTTGCTGACCCCTGAACTAAAGCATCCTTTTAACACTCTGGAAGCCTTCAGAAGTACTGCGGTACAATTCCTTGTCTGCTCCAGAACATCTGGAGGATAGTAGGAAGACCAATACAATGAAATACATTATGGCCTTAGGTACATATGCTTATATCTATGCTCTCTAAATAAGAAAGACAACTTGGAGCTCTTGATGTAAATGGCATCAGTCTGGTCTCAAAGTCCAAGGAGCTATCTATATTAACTAATGTGAATTTCTGCTATTCTTAAGCTGGTTCATATGGCATTTTTCAGATAGCTGTATAGCTGGGTCTGCAAACAGATGTTTAAAAATCCATGGAACACCCCAAAGCAATTTAGAGCCATGATAAGAAGCTAAGCTGATGACTTCAAGATGCCTGCTTGTGCAACAGGATAAGCTTACTGTGACTCAATAAAATTGGAGGGAAACACCAGTGAGCTCATTAGATGAGCAACCATTACTGCCGCTTTCTATATCTATCACTCAGTGACTCAAGGCTGAATGTAGAGATTTTCTCTATTGTTGAGAAATAGTATGATGTAAATAGAAAAACTGTCGCTGAACCCAGACTTGGTCACAGAAAAAAGCTCAGTGAAGTTAGGCAAGTTATTTCTTAATGCCAGGTTTCATTGATTTCACTGTCAATTCAAGCTGCATCCAATCAGCTAACTATAGCATTGGATATATAATTCACCACCTTTATAGATCAGTTTCTCATGTTGAACTTATTTAAAGAACAATAGTGCTTTTCCCAAAAAGCAACTGGATTTTCCTCTTGTTGTTGTTCTTTAAAAATGTTTTGCTTCTATTTAAAAAACTTCTTCAGTTCTTCTTGGATGAGAAGTGAAATGTTTTCATAGAAAAAAGAAACCAAGAAAATCCAATTGCCTTTGGGCCACATATGAAGTCCTTCCCAAGGAATTGGTTTAAGCAGATGTGGATGTTTGGTGGTGTTAACAGATACTGTTGCAGGATGTAAACTGTTCTGAATAAAGCTTCCTTTTGTAATTGACTGATGGTGAATTTGTCAATGCCCATACTGCTGCAATTATTTTGAGATTGCACCCACAGCGTCTATTACTATTGGCAATAACCTTTGCTTTCTTTTGCCACAGTTGTTCTATTTCTATTTGCAGGTTTTTGTATATTGCTATCTATTTCAATTCCTTCCCTTTTATTCTATTGTTTCCAGATACTGTTTATTTTCCATATTTCTCATCATGAATAATTGTCCATCTGCAGACTGACATCCTCCAAATGTTACTAGACCAGCACCCAGAGTTTCCCAGGCAACAGCACCTCTATTTTTCCAGAAAACTGTTCCTTTTTCAGGAATTACAAAAGCATGCTTTCTCAATATCTCAAGGAAGAAATTTGGATAGCAGCAGCAAAAACTTAACCAGAAAACAGACAGACTAGGAGAGGTTTTTATTAAAATATAGCTACAACTAATTTAAAAAATATGTACAAAGTAAAATGTTTAAATAACTGAAAAACAAAGGCAGCTCTTTGAATGTAAAAAAACATCTTGATGAAACAGTTTGCTTTCAGAAAAGTTAAAGGATAGCCCATTAACTGCAGGTTTTCAGTAGACACATGGGGAGGGGGAAATGTCAGGACATGAGCTTCTTTGGAGTCTGACTCTTTAAAAGCTCCAAGGCAAGGTTGAACATAAGGAAGACTGGGATCTGTTAGAAGATTTGCAGCTGACCTGCATATATTTTCACCCTCATAAAAAACAATTGTAATAGTACAAAGAACTATTGCCCAGTTTTGTGAGATGAGTGGCATACATAAAGTTTTATGGATAAGTGAAGGGCAGGAGTAAAAATGCACAAAAATGACATTAAAGCAACTCATCTTGAAACCTAATTATTAGCTGAACATGTCCCCAGTTCTAAAAGTACAGAGCTCTCCTCATCAAGCCATATTTCTGCATGCTCACTTTTCAGGTTTCTAGTATAAAATCTATTGACTCCTAATTTCGGAGATAAGATCTGATTGTTTGAACTTGATTTAGTTAAAAGGAAGTTAATATTTAATTTAGGACGGTTTGCTTTATGGCTACAAAAGTCTCCATCTATACAACTGCATGTGAAAGCTTGTGGGTGTACACACAGATCAAAAGTTTCTGTGACTACAAAATAAATTATCAGTTAAATTTGCTAAGCACTTTAGTAAAGTAAAATAATATATTATAACATTAACTTCCTAGTGCATATTATGACCATTCTCTTTTTTCACACAAACCACTCTCCTATTCAGAACCACATAAATACATTCACACACATTTACAGTAACAGGAAAAATAGAAAATGATGGGAAGATGGGAAGGGAAAATAAAGAAAAAGAGAAGATGAAAACTTCAGAAGGAAGAGCCTGCCTTCCCAAAATGAGCCAATAAAGCAGGAGAAAGAAAGCTATGATAACACTGCCATTGCTTTTGCAAGAGAGCAAGAAGTCAACAAATACATATATATGAAGGGAGAAATCTCATTCATCCATAAACCTCACATACAAATAAGACAAAAGGCTCTTCTCTGCATGTGAGAGGAAGATGCCCAGAAAATGGCCAGCATCTATGCTACTTCATCCTGTCTCTTTACGCCCTCTCATCAGCCAGAACAGAAATACTGGCTATAAAAACTGTTCTGAGAGGCATTGGGTGCAGATGATGGTATGTGGGAAAGTGAAGAGGGAAGTAGGCATGTGATGATGTGAGAAAGTAAAGCAGCTAGAAAGACAGTTCTGTCTAGCAATATTCACAAGGAGTAGGAGTAGCAGAACTCACAAGGAGTAGGAGTTGGAATAGTAGGAGTAGCAGTGATGAAGAATGGACTAATGATGAGTAGTAATAATGTGAATGTTTGTGTGCGTGGTATAGGGCAGTGTTTTTCAATCTTGGCAACTTGAAGTCCTGTGGACTTCAATTCCCAGAATCCCCCAGCCAGCATAGCTGGCTGGGGAATTCTGGGAGTTGAAGTCCACAGGACTTCAAGTTGTCAAGGTTGAGAAACACTGGTCTAGGGATCTATATTGTTGTTGATCCTTTTGTGTGTGGAGCCCACTAAATTGAGTATAGTTAAAGGATCCATGACACTGCAGATAAATTATAACTTCTCCACTGTACACACACTTAAAAGTTAATTATTGGGGAGGGGAGTTGTCCTGCCTTTGGGCAAATAAGGCATTTAATAAAACTGAATATGGAAAATCAAGTTATGCACACACTACCTTTCACAGATGGGTAAGAACTTTGGTTCCCAACATATATGAGGTCACAAAGCAGAATATATAAAACCAAAAATAAATGCAGCATTGGCTTCTTTTTTGTCCTTTGTGTTGAGATATTTTTATTCCAAGCCCATTCACAGTACTTTTTATAAATGAGGTTCCAGTGGGAAGGTTTCCTGGTTTAGCTCAGAACTGTTCTTGTTTTATCAATCCATTTGCAGGAGAGGATCTAAATATTCTGCATAGAGGTTCTGCTGGTAGAACTTTCCCAGTCTTTGGAGATATTATTATGAGGTTCAAAAGGCACAGAACATGTTAGAATGTTGTCAAAATTCATCTTGCCAGTTCCAAGTCTACTTTGGTAGGTCCAAGAAAACAACAATGGCTCCCCTTCACCTGCAGTTATTATGGGAATCATATTGCTCCATCAAGTCTCTCTGAGAACAAAGAAGATTAAAATACATTATTGCAGCCTTTCTACAGGGACCATTTGTGGATATCTCTGCCACCACTAGGAAAATCAATGGGGTGGGGTGGGGAATCCATTTGCTCTCTGCTGCCTCCTGCAGGATCCATGCAACATTCCCAATAAGCAATGGCAAACTACAGAACATTGTAATGAAAGAGGAAGAAGACAAGAGGAGAAACATATGGCAGTTGTGCATAGTTGAACAGAGCTCCCGCAGCCAAAAGGTCAGACAGATACACTTCGATATAAGCAAACTAAAGACGGACATGCAGGGGAAATGAGACAGCAAGTAGTGATCTCTAACCCAATGTTAGAGACACAGACAAGAATGAGCAATGGAAGGTGAACAATCAGTACTTCAGTTTTGTTGCCAATTACCTTCGTCACCTTTGTCTCCTTTTGATCTGGGTTCCTGCCACCATTCAGACAAAAAACCCTCTTCATAGTCACCAATGTTTTCAAACTCAGCATCAGATGGCAATGCAGTTTTTTTTACCCCGTCAACTCCTTCGTCCACCTCTCCCTGAAGTAGGATAAAAGAGCTAGTCAGAAGCAAAGCAATCAAGAACCGAGACTGTTCCATCTTCTGCACATGGACCATTTCAAATAGACTATTTGGTACAGAATCCAACATTAAAAAAATAACCATATTCTAGGCTTTATTCCTGAAAACAAGAGGAAAGAGTGCAGAGAAGAACAACCGGGTATGTCTAGTCTGATGAACAGAAGGACTAGGGGAGACATGATAGCAGTGTTCCAATATCTCAGGAGCTGTCACAAAGAAGAGGGAGTCAAACTATTCTCCAAAGCACCTGAGGGCAGGACAAGAAGCAATGGGTGGAAACTAATCAAGGAGAGAAGCAACTCAGAACTAAGGAGAAATTTCCTGACAGAACAATTAATCAGTGGAACAACTTGCCTCCAGAAGTTGTAAATGCCCCAACACTGGAAAAGAAGAGATTGGATAACCCATTTGTCTGAAGTGGTGTAGGGTTTGCTGCCTAAGCAGGGCATTGGACTAGAAGACCTCCAAAGTCCCTTCCAACTCTGTTATGGGTAATGCCTGGTAAAAGCTTAAAATCCTGATGGCAATCCTTAGGTAGCTAAATCCTTTCTTTCCAGCTGAGAAAATCTGAAAATGAAACATTTCCCTCTTGCCTTTCAGATTTATCTAGTACTTGCCATCCTCAAAGTAAATTAATGGGGCAAAGCTGGACTAAAGGAAACAAAAGCTAGCTCTTAATTTATCACATTTCTACCTGTTTTCCAAGTTCTCACCTCATCATCTGGCTGGAGATATTGCCTGGCAAACTCCAAGAGTTTCTTCTGTGTGGATGTCCAGTTATGATAACGCAAGGCCTCCTAAGAATACCAGAGAGAAAACAATCAGCTAGAACAGGTGAGAGAGCAACAATATTTGTACTTTGTACAATTGGAGCCTGTGTTGGTGCCAGCTGAAGAAAGGTACAATCTACCAAGTAGACCCAAGCATGCAAACATTTGTCTGGCCTCCAAGTTAGAATAGCTCTGGACATTACTGCAGCTGCAAATCATGTAATTTGAGGGCTCGGGCACTTCCAGTTGTAAAGCTGCAAGCAGCAATGAAGTCGTTGCATGGGAAGGAAAAAGTAATTGAATAGTTAGGAATGCATATAACCAGCACCCCTCCTGACAAAGTTTCCATTTGGGTACTAGAGCGATATCAATATAGAACAAAGAATGAGGGGCATTGCTATCAGTTACTGTAATTTCACTATAATTATTCTGTTTATCTCAAATTTCAAGATCAAACTGTTGATCTTATTCCCTCTTAAGTCATAATCAAGTAATCAAACTGTTTTCGCTCACTTCCATTCTCCTTGCTTCTCTTGGGGCTTGTTTATTACAACCAGAATCATAGACAAATATAGCAGTATACAAAAATTATCTAAAATGGTTATTCTAAAGCATAGTGGACAATCTACTTTGCTTTATACCACTGAGGAACAAAGACATCAAACCCCCTCCAATCAGAAATTAGAAAATGTGACCTTCCAACATTTCTGCAGACTCCCGATGCTTCAATCTCTCATCCTCCCCAGCCCCCATTGTATTCCTTTTGCAGATTCTCAAATAACTAGATGTGAAGACTAATTGTTGCAAGTTCAGAAGGGAGGGGAGATTGATACTAGGGTTCCCCCCCCCCCAAGTTTGGAGTTGTGTCGTTCACAGTCAAGGGGAACCTAGAGAATCAATTGTTTCTGGAATGCAGTCCCACAAGACTATCAGTGCTCCAAAACAAAATATTAATTCTTATCCCAACCACCCCATTCCTGTTCATACTGGTCGTGGGTTGAAGTCCTCCTCTTCTAGATGCCAACGTTCACGATAGAAACGATAATAAACCAGATTTTGCTGCATGACTTCATCTCCAGGATCAAAGAGCATGTAGCTAGCTACACTCTGTACTGCATTCTTAATATCATTCACTGTGCAGAGAATAATATACAAAATTAGCAGGAGAGACACATCTTAAGCACATGAAAAATAGGGAGGGAAGAAAAAAAAATCAGGAAAAATAATATCTCACCAAATCAGTATGCCTTTATAAATATGGCCTGAAAATAATATTAACCTCTACTGGCCTTATTTTAATCAGAATGTACTCAAAAAGGTTGCTGCACTTTCTTGAAAGAGAAGAAAAACGATTTGAGCTTCGGTGGCGCAGTGGTTAGAGTGCAGTGCTGCAGGCTACTTCTGCTGCCTGCCGGCTGCCTGCAATTTAGTAGATCAAATCTCACCAGGCTCAAGGTTGACTCCCCCTTCCATCCTTCCGAGGTGGGTAAAATGAGCACCCAGATTGTTAGGGGGCAATATACTGAGTCTGTAAACCACTTAAAGAGGGCTATAAAGTACTGTGAAGCAGTATTTGTATTTGTATTTTTGTATTTTATTGTCACTTATAGGCCGCCCTTTTCCCTGAGGGGACTCAGGGTGGCTTACAACTCATGGGAAGGGGGTGCAAGACAAAACGTAAAAATAATATGTGAGTATGTAAGTCTAAATGCTATTGCTATTGCCTCTGTATTTCCAGGTTAGGGCTATTTGGAGCTTTGAATTTAGATAGGAGACCATAGTTCACTCAGAGAATCATTTTTTACAAGCTAAAAAAAAACAGGTCTAATCTTAAGTACAGCTAGAAAACTCATGTTTTAAACTTTGAAACGTCATTGTCAGATAGCATAGATGAGGCCAGATGGAAAAGCAATCTGACTTTTCCAAACACCATTTGTTGTTGTAGTAGTAGTAGTAGTAGTAATGATAATAATAATTATAATTATAATAATGGAAAATCGTCTAATGGGGGATAGGAGACAAAGGTAGAAAATAGGAAAATGTCTACTGTCCCATCCTCTCTCAAACCAATGGATTTTGACCCAATGCCTCCACAAGGTGGCACTACTTCAAATCCTACCCTCTCCTTGAATCAAGGCTCCCAAACCAAATCAAGGACTCACATTTGTAATATGCAAACTGAAGATAGTGATACATCGTGGCCACAAATTTCTCCACAAAATAGCCACCAACATTTGGGGTCAGGTCAACTTCACAATCTACTTTACATTGCAGGACAAAAACAAAACGATCTGGGGAGGTAGAAAAAAAAAGAAAAGTATTTTTTAAAAGTTATTATTCCATTATCACTTAGAGAAACAGCTTTTGTAACCCAATTCCATTCATATTTACATAGATTCAGTGATCAGCGAATTCAATAAGGCTTCCATATACAAGCAGCTTTAATTTCTTATTAGCTTTGGTGTTGTCTCTCTGCACTTTCAGTATTTCAAATTATTAATATATTTTTTAATTTGGCTTTACCTTTCCTAACGTTTTCATTTCATCTAGGCGGCCTAAGCAACCACTTTCTTTCTTTTTATATTATTTATACCTATTAACACACTATTTTACAAGGCAAGATTGCATTTGCATGCAATTTATTGGCATTATGAAATTATCCCATTTTCTATCAGTCAATGCAATTGGCGGTTCTCTTTTACACAGTTGATGAGGGCTCATGTTTTGGAAGTGAACAGAGGGCTGAATGCATTCACAGAAAGAGGTGCTAGGGCTAGGTAAAGGAGAGTTAGTTAGTAAATACCTCTCTGAAAAACCAACAGGTGAGGTGGGTTAAGATGGTATTGGAGATTTTGCAGATATGGTTACAAACATCAAAACAAACAATGCAGAATTTTAAAATCACTGAACAGAATAGCTCTGTATCCAAATGAACTTATAGTGATGTAATACTTGAAGTAATTCTAAAGTATCTCTTTTACTCTGTGCAATAGCTCCATATTAAATCCTCTATCTGTGCTAATTCTTGCTCCACCCAAACCAATTAAAAATGAGGAGAAATTATTTTTTTACATATTGCATAATTGACATTTCAAACTTTACACCAGAATAAAAAAGGACAGTGGATCAGCATACTGTATGTATGATGGCTGATCTCTCCCTGATTCCCTTACCTGCTATAGCTGGATAGAAATCCTTAAATTCAGAGACCTCATAGCTACCCTCGCAGCCAGCTAGGCAATTTTCATAGGCTTCATAGTATTTGGACAGTGCATGCTCCATGTCAGCAATGCTACTCCTAAAATCTCCACTATTGTAAAGCTTCACTGCTCTGACAAAAACCGTCTGCAAAGAATAAATACAAATTAACAGGGTGAGTATATTTTGTTTTTGTTTATGTCTTTAAGCTTCTTAAATTTAAATTAATAATTCCCCCTTCCTTGATTCTGCACTTCTTAAATTGACTTAAGAAAGTCAATTTATTATTATTTTAAAATGCTGGCAGGCTACACAAAGTTGCTTTATGGGCCATATGGACAATTAGGAGATTTCAGAAAATTTTTCAAGAAAGCCAGCAAGGGACATTCCCTAATCCCTCCCACTGATCATTAGCACTATGACATCTAATTAATTCATGCCTGAATATTTAGGGCAGTATTCCTCAACTTGGTACCTCGTGCTTATTGTGACTGCACCTTCCACAACAGAAGTTGCAATTCCAGCTCTTTTGGAGGACATCAAATTGAGGAAGACGGATATAGAGTGGAAGACATCAATTTAGCAAACAAAGATTCCTAAAATAACTTTTTCATACATGTAGCAGGAAAAATTCATACAAGAAAGAGCATTAAAGTGCAATCTTATAACATCAGCCTGTTTCATGTTCAAAACTCACTGGGCTTATCTTTACCAGGTTTTTATTGATTTTGTTTGGTGATAGATACAACCTTCATTTTGGACTCCAAAAGTCTTCAGAGAACTGAATATATTGAAGAAGCAGATTTTCCAGCTCCTATACAGTTGGAGTTCAGAACTGGGCATGAGAAAAAAACCATATTGATGATGTTGGTTGATGGCCTTATTGGGGAGTGGGTTCATATTAGATTTCTGGGTTGCCTTTGACACTACTGTGTTTCTCCAAAAATAAGACAGTGTCTTATTTTCTTTTGACCCCCGAAATAAGTGCTTATTTTCAGGGAGGTCTTATTATTTTTTGAGGTGCAGGAGGCAGCGAGCCTGGTCACCTAATGGCTGCTGCTGTGTTGCAATATTTTCAGAGGGGGCTTATTTTCAGGGGAGGGCTTATTTCAGCGCATGCACTCAAAAGTCCGATTGGGCTTATTATCTGGGGAAGTCTTCTTTTGTGGGAAACAGGGTATCAACCATGAAATCTGTGAAGATTGGAGACACTATATTTGAATAGTTTCACTCCTTCCTTCGTAGCCAGTTCTAGTTGACGGTTGCAGAAGAGAAGTTGGTCCCATCTGGCTTAAATGTGGAGTCCATGTAAAGCTTGAGCCTTTCCCCACTACTTTTTAATGCTTACATGAAATAGTTGGGATTGGTTATCCATTAGTTTAGGTACTGTATCATCACTCTGGTCCACTCTGACAATGCAGCTGGAATCTCATTCCAATATCAGAAGGTATGGATAAGTAGGAATGAGCTGAAATTAAATCTAAGCAAGTGCAATTACTATTTCTTCACTGATGTTCTCTGCCAGCTCTGATGATATTTCATGAAGGGATGGTATTATTCCTGGAGCATGTCCATGATTTGAGGGTCCTTCCCACAACTAAATAGATAGGCGGAGGCTAGAGCAGGAAGGCATTTTATTGACCTACCTGAAATGGCTGGGCATCACAATTTTAACCTTTCGTTACCTGGTTGGGCTACTGAAGTGTGCACTACAAAAGTTTTCCTTTGAAGACCACACAGAAACTATACCAAAATATAGTGATCCTCATGCTTATAGCTAGGCTCCAGAACAGTGTTTCTCAACCTTGGCGACTTTAAGTCCTGTGGACTTCAACTTCCAGAATCCACAGGACTTAAAGTTGCCAAGGTTGAGAAACACTGCTCTAGAAGCATATTACCCTTGAGCTGTGGGTCTGTGTTGGCTGCCAGTATCTTTCTTCCCAAGGTTTAAAGTGCTGTTCTTAGATTATCAAGGCCTATAAGATTTGACATCAAAATATTTTCAGGGCCATCTCCTTCAACCAAAATGAATCATTCAATACAACAACTAGGAATTTTCTTTAGCAGTTCTCCATTATTGTGAAATTAGGTGGGCTGAAGTTAGAAGATATTTCTGTGTTTCCATCTTGTAGAACAATCTTCCAACAGATATTACACTTACCTGCTAATTTTTCTGGTAGCAGATTAAAAGCAAGCTTCCAAATACCATTATGCTATTATATCATGGATATTTAATAATTTGTTATTTACTTGACTATGACAGTCTAAAACAAGGTAAGGTAGATAGACATTCATTCATTCATTCATTCATTCATTCATTCATTCATTCATTCACTACAAAGAAACTTGCAGACCTTAATTATAGAGCAAATTGTATTGGCAACTTTTTAAAGCTTTCAATTGTAGCCCCATCTTGGGGATAAATTTTCCTCTCCATAATATTCCAAATACATACCTCATATGGTTGTGCTTCCAAGTCTACAAGGTACTCATCTACATCCACCATAGTTTTGTAATAATTGAGGTACTTTTGGGTCATCTCATGCTTCGGATTCTTCTGTAGGAATGTGTGGGCAGCTGATACAGCTTTCTCAACTTTATTTGTCTGGGAAAAAAATATAACAAAAAAATAGAGAGCAGGACGAGGCAGACTGTAGGCTTAAGAAACCTACTTTATTCTTTTGTTTCTACCAGAACTGCATATGTTTAGAATTAAAGAACTTTAATTGCAAGATTTTGTTCTGAATTCCAGAAACCTAACTGTTCAGCACAAAAATCCACTACTGGTTACCACAAGTATTTCAGCAGCGAGCCATGTCACAAATCAATCAAATGATCTAGGCTTAGTTCAGTATGCACTTTGTAAGAATATCCTAATGAGATTGGGAGGAGCTTATTTAAATAAAACATATTTAAAACAAAGATAACAGTTGTTCTTAATAACTGCATCAGCTATGGAGGTACACTTGCCAGAAAATTAGTGTTAGATTGGTATCAAAAATACTCATTTTTTCCCATTTTCAGATATGAAAGTTTACTTTGAGCCAGTTAACAGGCTTATTGGGGGAGGGGGAAATGGGAGGAGAGAGCACTAGTATGCTGCCTTGAGCTGCTGGATAAAAAAAATGCATGGATAATATTTTGTTCCACATCTCACAGTTCAATCAGTGCCAACTGCACGTTTAAAGATTGAAAAGTTGACCAGACTTCCATAAGGTGTGATCCATTAAACTGAGTTTAGCATATTAAACCATATCTGGCTTGGGTAATAGGTCATTTTTGACTGATGTTTGCAACTGTCAAATATTCATTTAGAGATAAATACTTTCATCAATGAATCTTTCACACTTTGTCCAATTTTAGAGAAGGTCTTTTATATTCATCAAGCTGACCTTTATCCCTCCTCTACCCTCATTCGCCTCTTCTCTGAAACTGAATCAGAAAATAAAAGTGAAAATATGTATGCATACTTATATCGCCTTGACCTTTTTTGACTGTGGTGGGATAGACATGTATCACTAATAACTTATAAGTCTATAGTGGGATCAACAGCTGGTAGATGCTATGAGGTTCTGAATAAAATACTCCAAACAAGAAATATAAAAGGGCAATTCAGAATGAACAAGGACTGAAATATTAATATTGACAGAGGAGCTTAAGTTTAAGCCTTTCACCTTTAATAACTTAAAGAGACCGCCTCCTGCCAATTACCTCCCATAGACCTATTAGATCAGACAGATTAGGCCTCCTCCGAATCCCATCTGCCGGCCAGTGTCGGCTGGCAACTCCCCGGTGGAGGGCCTTCTCTGTGGCTGCTCCGGCCCTCTGGAACGATCTCCCCATTGAGATCTGGACCCTTACCACCCTTCTGGCTTTCCGCAAAGCAATTAAGACCTGGCTGTTCCGGCAGGCCTGGGGCTGTTGAATCTCTCAGCCCCACTCAACGATATGATTGTTGTTTTTTAAAATGTGTTTGTCTTTTATTTTTTATTCTGTACCCCCTTCTCTCTTTGATTGTTAGCCGCCCTGAGTCTCTCGGGAATAGGACGGCATACAAATTGAAGAAATCCAATCCAAATCCAATCTAATAAAAAGGCTAGTGAATGGGACAAAATGGAGCTATGCTGTAAATCTACAGAAAAATAAGGAGGGAGAACTTTTTTTCTTTGTACTGTAATATTGGAATGTTGGAATTCAAAAAGAAGGAGCTATTTAGTTTCTCAGAATCATTGAGTCAGCAAGTGTTTCCCTATCCAACCAAATCTGGTCTTGTTCTGACTTTGATCATATCAACATCTACTGAACTTTCAACAGTAAGACAAGTAGATTTTGAAAGGGAAGAATTTTTTGTTCTAATTTTGGGGATTTTCCTAGATAGTACTCAAATATTATTTCTTTTTCAGGTGATTGGCATCAGGAGTGGGCTGCTGGGGGTTCGCAGAGGTTCAGGAGAACCTCTAGCTAAGATTCTGTGCAGTTTGGAGAACCCCCAAATTCCACTCCTGGCTGGCTCCACCCACCCCAACCCTCCCACATGGCCTACTTTGGATGCTGATAAGTGCAGGCCGTGCATGGAGCTTCGGGGAGGGTGAAAAACGGGCCTACCAGAAGTTCAGGAAGGCTAGAAACAGTCCCATTTCTGGCCTCCAAAGGCCATTTTCACCTCCAGAGGCTCGAGGAAAGCCTTTGGAGTCCGGGGAGGGCAAAAACGCCCTCCCCATCATGGTTCCGGAGGTCAACTAGATGACACCCACCCAGCCACGGGGCAGAGAATCCCTTGCTAAAATTTTTGAAGCCCACCCCTGATTATCTTGTTTCTTTGAAGTGAAAGACTGCCAATCTTTGCAGGCACAAGAAACCTTTAAAGGATATTGCAGAGATTTCTCAAAAAAGATTGTCATGGAGAAAAGGCAAGTAGCAACATTTCAAAAAGAGCAGAGCAGCCATCCACTGTTTCTATTATTTAATAACATTTAGAGGTTTTACAAAAAAAATGGAAAAAAAATCAGATGGTGCAGGAACTTTGAAGACAGTGCCCATGGAAATCTAACAAAAGCTTATAAATATGAGTAGTTACACTATGATATACAGTCCATAATCAAGTATTTATTTTCATAATGAGGAAAAATTCACCTAGTGGAAAGACGACAAACTTTGCAATATTTAACTACTGACAAAATGAAGATGAAATTATTTTCTCTTCAGGCTAGTCATAACCATCTGGTTCCAACACTTTCCAAAGAATTAATAAAAAAACGGGACCACTTAAGAGAGTTGAATCTGAAAATCTTATAACACAAAATTTGGAGCGTTTATTGAACCTTATAAACTGTTTGTGAACTACCCAATAACACAAAACAGTAAAGAATTATTTATAATTTAAAAAAATAGAATTTAAACACAATAATTGATATGCAACAGTTGTGAGACTTTCAAAGGAAGAAAACATTAAATTTATACTAAATGTTATACTTACAGAAAAGTATTATATTTTGCTGCTGATATATTTAGTATTGATTACTTAAATAAAAACTGAAAATGGAACGACCAGCTTCCATTGTTTTTTCAAATACTGTGGCAAATTTGTAAAGCCCATCAATTTGGGAAAATGATGTATAAACAAATACATTCTAAGAGCTGAATTTCCTTCTCAACTTATTTCTTTATTAAATATTGCTAAATAAAGTATAACATATGTGCCAAATGCATTTTATATGTGGTTACTGCCACAAGTACATTTTATGCTTCTTATTGGAAAGTATGCATAATTCCTTTGCAGATGAATGGCTAATTAAGGTTATGGGAGCATGCCTTAAGCCAAAGCCAATGTTTCCGGCTTTGCGGACTAATGGGCGGGATAGAGGGGATGGTTCCACGTAAATGGCGGGTGAGCACACAGCTCCATTTGTGCAAGCAGTGGACATGCATGCCTGCCCCTTGTACAAATGAAGCTGCACACAAATGCACATGCTGGTTACTTTCACAAGTGGAGCTGCATGCGCAAGATCACTCACCACTTCCATGGCCCGGTTCCAAATGTGCCACAGCCTGAGGATTGGGAATCCCAACCTTAATCCAAAATAACTTCATATTCAATCTGGCACAGACTTTAATTCAACCTGAAAACTGTTTGGATTATATTTCTATATAAGGCCTTATACTACAAATTTCAAAATCTATGTTTCAATTAACATAAAGTCTTAATATGCTAATATTTCAATGATCTGTTAAATAACAATGGATCTTCCAGAGTTTGAATAGAAGCATGGTGGGTTTCAAAAAAATTTGGAACCTCTTCTGTAGGTGTGGCCTGCTTTCCGGGTCCACTGGTGGAACCTCTTCTAACCGGTTCGGTAGATTTGATGAACCGGTTCTACCGAATAGGTGCGAACTGGTAGGAACCCACCTCTGAATAGAAGGTATTTCCTTATTGTACTTATATGATTTATACTAGTGTAAAGTGCATTAGTACTTGTATTTGCAGTTTTTAAAAATTCATTCTTAAAAGATCTGCTAAACCAGGAGAATAAGATTGGCATCTATTATGCACTTCCTGGTAATTAAATGGGGTGTAATTAAACTTTTGAACTAGCTTCAATAAACAAGGTTTACAAGGATGTGGAATATTGGTTGTTGTTTTTTCAAGGGACACTGGAATAAAGTACTCATAAGAAACATACTGCCTCCTTCCTTTGAAAATTAAATGGAGGCAAACAGAGATTCTCAGAATGTAAAATTCAATATGTAATAGTAATAAAGTGCAGTATTCTGCAGTACTACCTTTTCACCAGCTGACTTGTTTCTTCATTAACCCTGAGAACCTCTGAGGTAGTATCATGAGTCAAACTATCTATGACTGAAGACATCTGCCTACTACCAAAGTTTGTTTTGCAGTCTATCCTAGACATGTTGGAGAAGTATTTGCCTCTCATTAATTATCTCATCGGTTAAGCTTCTCCAGGGCCCACAATGTCTGTTTCAGTCATCATCGTTTAGAATATCAGGGCGCTATGCTCTTTGCAGAAAAGGAGGCTGGTGCCTGGAAGCATCTCATCTGCTCCAGGCAAAGAAAGAAACTACTGTCCTCAGGATGGCAGAGCATAGAGGCAGCCTTCTATCTGCTGACCTGTTTTCCTTCAACGATTCAGGGAGGCTGGGAAGGGTTTTGTAAACAGTGTATGTGCACATTAGTCCTTCCTTGGCTACCTTTTCCTTTCCACTGAAGTCCTAGATAGATCAACATATATGGATTTCTCAACAATAATGGAGTCATATGTCAAAAGTGATGGAACTAGAAATATATGGGACTTTCTTTATTCTTCTATAAGCATGGCTTCAATTCCTCCTCTGAAAGTGGCTTCCTAAAACACTGTAGCACTGTCATAAGGGACGCGGTGGCTCAGTGGCTAAGACGCTGAGCTTGTCAATCAGAAAGGTTGGCAGTTTGGTGGTTCGAATCCCTAGCGCCACATAACAGAGTGAGCTTCCATTACTTGTCCCAGCTTCTGCCAACCTAGCAGTTCGAAAGGACATAAAAAATACAAATAGAAAAATAGGAACCACTTTTGGTGGGAAGGGAACAGCATTCTGTGTGTCTTTGGCGTT